TAACAATCTGTCTAGGGGCTGTTTACATGTACCAATCTGTCCTGGGGCTGTTTACATGTATGTACCAATCTATCTAGATGTTGTTTACATGCATGTACCAATCTGTCTAGGTGTTGTTTACATGTATGTACCAATCTGTCTAGGTGTTGTTTACATGCATGTATCAATCTGTCTAGGTGCTGTTTACATGTACCAATCTGTCTAGGTGTTGTTTACATGTATGTACCAATCTGTCTAGATGTTGTTTACATGCATGTACCAATCTGTCTAGGTGTTGTTTACATGCATGTACCAATCTGTCTAGGTGTTGTTTACATGCATGTACCAATCTGTCTAGGTGTTGTTTACATGTACCAATCTGTCTAGATGCTGTTTACATAGCCTGTAATGTATCAACGTTTTACTCTGTGTATTCACTAGTTTACTTTGATAAAAATGGTCATAACATACGTCCCATTAAGAAATCTACAATTTTGATTGAAACAAATAAATTGATTACTAGTTTGAGTAAAATATAGCATGATGGCATTTTGTCAAAACAAGAGCAAGATTGTCATTCATGTATTTTCACAATGATATATTTTCAAATTAGGTATCCACTCTTTAATGGATAATTCAGAAACACCACTCAGACAGACCTTTGTTTCCTGACAAAGTCACAGCCTTTCTGTGCTATATCTTTCCTGTAAATAGCGTCTGTAAACTTAACGGCAGCGGCGCCCTCTAGGGCCTTGGTAGCGGCAGTAGGTAGATCAGTTGCCATGGCAACATTAGCAAGGACACGACCACCAGAGGTGACAGTTTTACCATCTTTAATAGCAGTGCCAGCATGGAATATTAACTGTCCCATTTCAGCCTCAATAGATTCCAGTCCTGAAAAGACAAGTGAAAAAAGGAACACTGTAATTGAAAAGGACAACTTTCTACTGCTATACCAAACATATCAAAATGAAAACTTGTAAAGAGTTTATAGAATGTGAGTAGTTTAGGTATCAGTATTCTTCTTTAAGCCTTAATTTTATGAATTCAGTAAGAAACAACATTTTTGTTAGTAAGAAACCCATGTTTTCTCAGTAAGAAGCCCAAGTTTTCTCAGTATGAAGCCCAAGTTTTCTCAGTAAGAAGCCCAAGTTTTCTCAGTAAGAAGCCCAAGTTTTCTCAGTAAGAAGCCCAAGTTTTCTCAGTAAGAAGCTCAAGTTTTCTCAGTATGAAGCCCAAGATTTCTCAGTAAGAAGCCCAAGTTTTCTCAGTATGAAGCCCAAGATTTCTCAGTAAGAAGCCCAAGTTTTCTCAGTATGAAGCCCAAGATTTCTCAGTAAGAAGCCCATGTTTTCTCAGTAAGAAGCCCAAGTTTTCTCAGTAAGAAGCCCAATTGTTCTCAGTAAGAAGCCAAAGATTTCTCAGTAAGAAGCCCAAGTTTTCTCAGTAAGAAGCCCAAGTGTTCTCAGTAAGAAGCCCATGTTTTCTCAGTAAGAAGCCCAAGTGTTGTCAGTAAGAAGCCCATGTTTTCTCAGTAAGAAGCCCATGTTTTCTCAGTAAGAAGCCCAAGTTTTCTCAGTATGAAGCCAAAGATTTCTCAATAAGAAGCCCATGGTTTCTCAGTTTGAAGCCTAATATTTCTCAGTAAGAAGCCCAAGTTTTCTCAGTATGAAGCCAAAGATTTCTCAATAAGAAGCCCATGGTTTCTCAGTATGAAGCCTAATATTTCTCAGTAAGAAGCACAAGTTTTCTCAGTCCAATTTTTTTCAGTGAAGAGGGCCCTAGTTTTCGCAGTGAGAAGCCCAAGTTTTCTCATTGAGGGCTTTTTTTGTTTGTTTTTTAGATAAAACCAGCGACCTGACGGTCAAAATAACTCCGCTGTCCTACAAGAAAATTGTGTTAGCCATGTCAAGTACTCGAAAGACAAAACACGGCTAACCCGCAAAAAAAGTGTGGTTCTGGCTTTTAAAAACAAGTCAACCTAACTTCACCAAACAAATTGCTTGCAAAAATATTGTACACCTCAAATACCAAAGTGATTAGGTTGGTAGATCTCAAGAAGAATTTAAAATATTCACCAAAAATACTGAATAAACATCATGAAAGAAATCTGACAGAGGTCCAACCAAGGTTGGCTGTTAGCTTCCGAGGAGAAGTTGAAAATAGCATTTTTTACCAAAAATTCAAAAATAACGCCAAAAATAGAGAATTGAAGATATCGTCATGAAATTAACAAATCTCACAGAGGTCCGCCCAAGGTAACTATATACCAAGTATCAGGGCCATTGAACTCGAAGTTTTCAAGAAGTCAAAAATGCAATTGTTGAAAGACAACGACGGACAATCTATATGAACAGCTCCACTCCGTCATCCATGAATACAATTTGACTTTTTACAGCAACACACCTGTAATCTCCATTCCTTTTTTATATGACGCCGGATATCCTCCGCTTGCAAGGACCACACCCACAGCATACTGGTCAGCATGCCACACTGGCATCGAATCCGATAGCGTCCCTTTCACACAAGCAGTCATGGTAACATAGAGATCACTCTTCAAAAGTGGCAGAATCACTTGACATTCAGGATCACCAAATCGACAGTTGAATTCTAATACTTTGGGACCATCAGATGTCAACATTAAACCAGCATAGATAACACCTGATAGATTCATGTAAAAAAAAAAAAAAAGTTTTCATAAAAACAAGAGATTCTGTAGATGGAATTTAAAGGTTTCATAAAAACAGAAGAATTTGTAGATGGCATTTAAAGGTTTCATAAAAACAAAAGAATCTGTAGATAGCATTTAAAGGTTCCATAAAAACAATAGATTCTGCAGATAGCATTTAAAAGTTTCATAAAAACAAAAGAATCTGTAGACGACATTTAAAGGTTTCATAAAAACAAAAGATTCTGCAGATTGCATTTAAAAGTTTCATAAAAACAAAAGAATCTGTAGATGGCATTTAAAGTTTTCATAAAAACAAAATAATCTGTAGATGGCACCTAAAAGTTTCATAAAAACAAAAGAATCTGTAAATGGCATTTAAAGGTTTCATAAAAACAAAAGAATTTGTAGATGACAACTTGAATGAAATATATTATTCACCTGTATAGGGTCTGCCCTCTTCCTTCATACCTTGGATTGTTTTTGACAACACTCTGCTGTGGATAGACTGCAGAGTGTCCACACTCACCTGAAAACAGCAGTCAAATCATTATATTGTCAGCATGCATGCAATAATATGTTCAATTGTATGGAAAATGGTAGTAGGTAATCCTTGATAATTTTTCAATATGACCTGTAGTCTTAGCAACGACTTCAGTGGAATATTTGAATCAGGTTTTATTGAATAAGAAAAACTACCTACAGCCATTTTCGTTTTATTTGATATAATATATTTTGGTCTTTATTAATAACTTAATAGGACATTGGCACAAAATATTTACATAATTTTGCAATTAAAACAGGTCTACACATTAAAACAAACCAGATCCACACATCAAACTCATGAATATCTTCAGCAACTTTTAAAGCTTGAAAAGTGAAAGCAGCGAAACATTGGATGATAATTGCATTGTTGTTGAAATTCTGCTTTGGGTACACACTATAAACACAACTGACCTAGGATGTAATGTAACCCAGTGATAACACAAGTAAAACAGTCGTACTATAAATTCAAAACGTAGAAACCTAATGGTTATACAGGAAACAACTCTTGAGTGTTGTGTGCAGCACAGACTAATCTTAGTGGAAAATGCTTCACACCAAATATTGATTTTGTAATAAAGCCCATATTAGATGGAATCCTGCTAGCGATTTGATGACACCCAAAGAGGCTGATAATTAAAATTACAACAGATTCCAAAACTAACGGCAAGGCAGATATCTGGCTGTTGCATTTAATACTGTACACATATAACTTGACAAGTCAAAGACTTCAATGCAACTTTAAAGCACCAGCAGTAATCCTGTTGTATATTTAGAATGAAATGTGAAAATCTTCTCACCTGTGGACATGGACAGTACGCACCCATTCCTCCAGTGTTTGGACCTTTATCGCCTTCTAATAACCGTTTATGATCTTGCGCTGGTGGCATTGGCGCAAACGTCGAGCCATCACTGAATGCAAGCACCTAACAGTTAAGGATACGCTATTAGCATTACAGGGAATTAACATTGCGACCTGTGACTAATTTTGCAGTGAAGATAAAATATATTTCCATTCAGTTAATCACACATAGCTTTTAAAGAAACATTTTAAGACATCAAACTTATTTTAGACCTGGACTCAGCACGTGTCGAGTTGTCCGTTTGACCACTCTGCTCAACTCTGTTGTTTGAGGAAAGAATTCGCAAACATAACAGCAGACTGCAATATAAATTGGAAATCTTTTATTCACAAAATTTGATCCGTTACTATGGTGAAACATAGTTATGTACTTGCTTATGGAAATAATGCATTCTTGGTGTCCAACTACGGGATGTGGTAAAAAAAAATAAGGGCTGTCTGTCTTTGAATACATATTTTAGGTTTTCCCAGCAATATGTTACTCAACATTTCATGGAGAGTTATTCAAGTACATGCTATGTTTTTACTGATTTTTTATGACAAATTATTAGAGAACATGCTATATTTTGCAATTTGCTAGTATTTGTTATGGTTGTTTCAACAAATCTCATATTTTTTTCAACAATATATATAATGCAATAATTTATTGTACATGTCCATGTCCGTTCATTCAATAAAATTTAATGAATTGAGGTTTCCATGCATGTACATCTCATTAGCGCAGAATCTTCCAGACAATTATTTTAGGAATGTAAATCATCTGAACCACTAACTTCGAACCAAGCATTATGTAAAATGTTTACATCGATTCCCGATTATTGATTGTGTATTATTTGTATTTCAAAAGACTGTAATACATTTTTCAAGTAAATAAAAAATAGCAATTAGTGACTTGAACATCAAGATAATTATGATGGAAAGATTGTCAACTGAGAGTGTGATTTCAGTTCCGTCTCGCTTTTGTCTGAATACAATGATGATAATCCTCATAATCATTTCGACAGTTTAAGGATTAACACCTTTCTCAGCATGTGTTGAAATCCATCTGAACATTAAAAGTGGAAAAGCAACTTTTTTTTTTAATTCTTTAAAAAAAATGTTTTTGTGCCAGGTGACATTGAATGTCACTGTTGACTCTCCTGACTTTTTTGTAAGTGCAAATTGCAAGTGTTAGTTCTTGCCACA